GGGGCCGCCGGCACGTTGGTTGGCACCCGGCTTCCTCCAGCAAGTGCCTGCCTTTAGCAGAGGGCCCTGCAGGGCCGCTGGGGAGCTGCCAGGGAGGTCACTCCAAAGCCATGGCCACATGGTCCAGCAAAAAACAAAGGATGCCCCACAGTGGTGGCAAGGCCAGCCTCAGTCCCATCTTCCCTTTGGTGTCAGCCCCAGGCACCGGGACTGGGCAGCCTGGAAGCCCAGGCCAGTGTCCATGGTTCTCCGAAGGCTGCCCCATGATCCTGGGAGCCTGGGGAAGAGTCCCTGAGCCAAGCTGTCACCCACAGCCCCAAGACAGCACCGCCTGCGCGGGAGTCCCCGACACTTCCCCACGGGGACCCGAGGTTTTCCACAGCTATGGGTCAGGAGGGGTCGTGGGGAAGTAAGACTACTTGGGGGACAACGGGTCTCAGCCCCAGGAGAAGGTGCCACAGGGAGAAGGGTTCCATTCTTCCAGCAGTCCCTGTGGGTAGCAGGACCTCAGGATCCTGCTGGGAAGTTGGGCTGCCCCACAGGCCCTGGTGCCCCCACCGCCCAACCTCAGAAGCAGTCTGAGTCGCAGGGTCAGACCCAGGAGTCCCTCCAGAGGGACCTGTGCCAGGTGGGCAGGAGCAGGCCAGGTGGGGACTCAGGACAAAGACGACCAGCAACATGGATTCAGTGGACAACTGCAGGTTCTTTCCTAGCAAGATAAAGCCCATTGCTTTATTCAGGTTATTTGTACATTCCAGCAAGTTTGGGGGGCAGAGGGGAAGGGACCACAATGAAAGCCACAAATGCATGGGCAAAATGTACCATAAACCGTAGTTTACTTTTCTGGGTAAAGGAAAAAAAAAAACCTTTATAATCAACATCCCACTCGTAAGTAAAAGCGGGAGGGAGAAAACGTGATTGTTTTGAATCTGGCATCTGTGTGTCCTCGCATTTCCTATGCACAGTTTATTGGGTACCACTGCCGTGGCCGGCAGAATACCCGAAAGTAAAAACAAATATCAGGAAGGAAAAAGTATTAACAAAAGGAAGCTCAAAAAGACAGCTTCAGGAGGGTGGGTGGCGCCCCGGGCGCCCGGCCAGTGGGTCAGTAGAAGCAGACCGTGTGCAGGAAGGCTCTGCCGCTCTTCTCCTCGAACTCCTGAAGCAGCTCATCGATCTCGTTCTCCATGTCCTCTGTGTGCTGAATCTGGGGAGAGCACACAGGCTGCCCTGAGCCCGGCCCCAACCCCGCCCCCAGCAGAAGCGAGAGCAACACCTGCTGAGCTTGTGCCGTCCTCCGCTCTGCAGACTCATTCCCACCCACCCCAGGCCGGCGCCTGAGGACAGAGGGTTGGGGGCAGTCCCACCAGGGAAGGGAGGCAGAGCGCCTGCAGCCGGGCCTGCCCTCGGATGCCCCCCGTACATGAACTATGGAAGCTCACGGCCCCTCCTGCCCCCACTCTGCCAAGGTGCAGTCACTGGCTCAAAGGCACCCAGTGACGAAGCCAGCCCAGGCTCTGCAGTGCGGCTGAACATCTGTGGCCTCCATCCTAGTGCTGCACCTAGCGTAACCCCCACGTTGTGAGACCCACAGATGTGTGCAGATGTGGCCAGATGTCCCCTGGTGGAGAACCACTGCCCTAGAGGAGGAGGTGCGGCCAGTGGCCAGCTCAAGGCTGATTCAGGGCTGGTATGGGCTGGACCACGGCTGAGGCTATTCATTGGCCTGAGTCTTGGCCTGTAAGCAGTGCCACTCTGAAGTGAAGAGCAGCCCCTCTGTAACTCGTTTGTCAGGGTGACCCAAATGGAAGTCACATGTGCAACTTCTGGGACTTGTGTTCCTCTTCAGCCCTTTCTCCTGCATAGTGGCCAGAACACGGGCACAAGTGCAGGAGCTTCAGCAGCCATGCTGGGCCACGAGGCATCTTGGGAACCGGAGCTGTGCTGGGCGCAACAAGAGAGGAGGACCCGGGCCCCTCCCGTGGCAAACCAGTCCAGGCCTGCCTGTCTCTGGACTTCTTGGTTAAGCCACATGTTTCACTCATTTTTCTGTCACTCAGAGTCAGCTGACTTAAATGCAGGTCTCACGAGCGGAACCTACAGGCATATGGGTGTCTCCTTGGGTAGGTCCTTTTGCCAGGCCTAAGAGGAAATGTTTTTGCTCTGAGCATAGCCGCATAGTAGCTGCAAAGCCCCTACGGTTTTCCGCACAAAGGAGGATGCCCATGGCCACTCGGGGAAGGCCAAGGACCGACAGGTCCTGAGGATGCAGAAGAGAACATGACGGCACCCACAGGGCTCTGGGGGCCCCCGGGCTCTGCTAGACCTGACTGGGATTTTGGCAGAAGCTCTCGGTGGGCACAGGGCCAGACACTGAGCAGGACACTGCACTTCCATCACCCGAACAAAAAGCACAGAAGCAAGTTCTTAAATCAAAGCCGCGTGGTCGATGGGCGCCTTGAACATATGAAAATAACCCAACATGAACACGAACTGAACTGCATGACAGCCCCTTTCCTGGTAAAACCTTTGTGTCAGGAAGAGACGGTCCTGGTCATGTCCCTCTGGCAGAGACTGCTCCCGGGGACGCCGGGGCAGGCACACCTGGACCCTGGGGCCGGAGCGGGGGCGGGGCCGGAGCGGGACCGGGGCGGAGCGGGGGCGGCACCGGGGCTGGAGCGGGGGGCGGGGCCGGGACACTCACGCACTGGCACAGCTCGCAGATGAGGAACGCCCCCAGGGTGGCCTCTTCGTGGTTGTCCTGGATGTCCACATTGATCACGTGCACTGGCTGGCAGGTCTCCTGCTCTCTGGAGTTCAGATCTAACGGGACCGGGCGACACGGCGGTCAGAGGCCATGGAACCAGGGACCCTGCTCTACCCATCTCCGGCCCTGGGGGGGGTCAACCAGGCCAAGCCCGGTGAGATTCAAGGAAACCTGGTGATCACCAGCCTCAATGCGCCGGCCATCCGGTCTCTCTCACGAACAGCCAGGCCGTCCTGGGGTAGAGCATCCAACAGCATTCTCACCCACGAAGTACCAGGCCCCTGGTCCCCTGGCCTCCTACGTGCTCTTCATGCACCCCAAAGGCCTTAAAGCCTACACTGTGTGCTCAGCGGACACACAGGTGGTTTTGCACGGATGAACATGACCAGCCAGAGGCTACGATCTCCCACCCTCACCTCCAACCTCAGGCGGGCCCTGCAGGTTGGGGGCCTCCTCACTACGGCCTTGACCACCTTCCCCGGCCCTGGAAGCAGCTGCACGTCCTGCCCAGGGAGGCCACTGAGGCCGTGACGGGCAGAGAAGTGGCCCAGGCACTCGGGGCACACTCGGTCTGCAGCCTTACCTTCCACCACCTGATCGTACACTCTCTCTTCACAGGTGAGGATCAGATCAAACAGGTCTCTGCAGTTCTGGAACCTTTCTGGCCGTGGCTTGATCCTCTTATTTCTGTCCAACATATGTAAGATGCCATTCTGCGTATAGCTAAGTGCTAGAGTCAAGGAACTTTAGAAAGACTTTTCTCAAACCCAGGAGGCGCCTAAACCCCACCCAGCTCAGCGCCTTGAGTGTGCACCAGCACAGCCCTCCCCAGCAGGTGCATCGAAGCAACGGAAGGGTTGAGGCAGTTCTGGGTCCGGCAGAAGACAAGCCGGTGGGGGAGGCACTTGCCTTAAGCCCCGCAGACTGGCCCTGACCAGCATCTCTGCACACGCTCATCTCAGCCTGCCAGGCTGGCCACAGCCTTCACACCAACCCCTTTCCAGAAAGCAGAGACCTGGTATCTGCAACCTTCACTCTCCTTTCTTCAACCTGCTGCTTTGACTCCTCCTGCAGCAACTCGGTGACCATTCACACTGAGCACAAGCTCTTCAGCAAAGACAAAGCCAGTACTCCCAAGTCTGCTCAGTTACAGCAGTACCAGAAAAATCTGGAAAACACCAAGAAAGGGAACTTCAGCAGCAAGAAGAGGGTGCAGGGGGCAGAAGCCCCAGGTTAACTGAAAATAGAGAGTGAGGGAGGCCCAGAGCCTACAGGGCCCAGAGTCCCCAGCGGGGCTGAGGGGACACACACAGGCCCTGCAGCAGAGGTGTGTGGCCTACCCCCACCCAACCCCAGTGGCCCGGTCTATACTCAGGGCCCCAGGGATAGGGTTCCCCGCCCTCAAGAGACTAGGACAAAGGCCCTAAAGACACAGCCCTGGTCTCTAAAGGTCGTTCCGGACAGCTGGGGACAAGCATCTCGTTAATTCTATTTAAGAGACATAGACTAGCTGACTGAGGGATTTCTGAGTGATACATTTAATGGCTTTCCCAGATGTTAAGTTACAACAATTTGCTTAAGCTCCTATTACTCAAAATACATTTCCTGCCTTTCCAGAGAGCTTCCAGAATGTATTCAAGCGGTCTTCAGAAGACTCCTAAGTTGAAAAGACATGTGACTGTTAACTGGGAGGTGCTTTTGCATCTGCTCATGTTTTTGGCCAAGCGTCCCATCCACCACACATGTCCCTGGGATGGGCCTGCTGCCGGCCCGCCACCCCCCTGCTGCGCCTGCCCGGGGCGGCTGTGCGGCCACACGCAGG